TAATATTTTTTTAAAATATATTTTTTCTTAAAAAATAATTTACGATATTTTTTAATTAATATTATATTTATAACTAATTAATAATATAATAAATATTAAATTACTTTATTTATTTATTTGTTTATTTATTTATATAAATAAATAAATGATATGTATAGATTTGATTTAGTTTTTATTGCTAGTTAGAAATTTTTGTACTCTCTCTTTTGTAATTTGTAATTTTATAAAATTTTACTTTACTCTTAATAAAGATTGTATAAAGCTACCACATGTTAAAATAAAAAAAAATAAATAATATGCATACATGTGTTTTTTTTTGTTTATAAATAGATTTTAATTAAAATTTTTTTAACGTAATTTTTTTTTAAAAAAAAATTAAATAATGTAAGTAAATTTAAATTTTTAAATTTTATTTATTTAAATAAAAAATATTATTATTAATTTTTATAAAGATTTTTTAGAATAAATTAGTTAATATAAATAAATATTTATAATTTATATAAAAAAAATAAATCTCTTTACAATAAAAAAGAATTATTCTTTTTTTATATTATATAATGAAAAATAATATACAATTTTATTTTTTTATTTGTTATTAATATTTATAAAATATTTATTTATATTACTAAATACTAATATATATATATATATATTTTTATTATAATACATAATTTAATTTCATTATTTATTAATATTCATAAAATATTTACTATTATTTATAAATTTTAGTAAATTAATCATACTATAGCTCAAAATTTTTAACAAAACAAATTTGATATACTCTTTATTTACTTTTAAAAAAATAAAGTTATTTTTAAAACTTATCATATTTTAATTTAACTTTTAAACTATAATAAAACTTTTAAATCATATCATTTCTTAAAAAGTTATTATCAAATTTTCATATGTAAATTTCTTTAGTTATATATATAAAATCTACAAATTTAATACTAAAAAGATTTTTGCATATATTACTAAAAATAAATTTTCTTAATTAAATTTTTTTTCCATTTTTATAGAAAACAAATAAAAAATTCTGCTAAAAATAAATAAGAAAAAAATTAAACAAGTCTTTAGTGCTTTTAAGTATTAATAATAATTTATACAATATAAAAATTCATATAAGGAGATATTATATTTGACAAAAAGCTAAAAATTTTGTTAGTATTATATTAAATAGAATAAAAACTATGTATTACTATCTGAAAATTAATTTATATTAGAAATTCTGTTTAAATAAAAAGAGAAAAAGAGTACAAGTTAAAATGCTTTTAGTTGAAAGAAATGATTAGCAAATGACAAATTTTTAATCTATTATCACTTTGATCTTATTTATCAGAAATCCTATAAAACTGATGATCAAAATTTTAATCAAAATTTTGAATTTGAAAAAAATTTCAATTAAATAATTAATTAAATTACTTAAAAGTAAATAAAAGTGATAATTTTGATGATAATTATAAATTAAGATTAACTGCCTTATTGCAATAACTTAGGCTTATTAATCATAAAAAACTAAAAATTAAAGTAATTTTTAGTATTACATGATAATTAAATAAAAGAATATGCTTTATATATTATTAAAGAATAAGAAAAATTAATAAAGAATTGTATAATTATTCTGATTTTAAAATAGGAAAACATTACAAAATTAAAAATTTACTTAATGATAAAAATATTTAAATGCAAATAGTAATATACTTACGTGAAATTAATTTAAATTTTATATTGCTATTTCTATTGATTATGTAAAAAATTTAGTTTTCCATTATTTAAAATCAAACAGAAAATGAATATCAGGTTTAAATTAAAAAATCTTGTTTTATTAATTTAAAATTAATTTGAATTCTCAATTTAATACAAAAATAGCTAGAAATTAGTTTAATAAAATAGGATTTAAGTTTAAACAATTTAAAAAGACATTAAATTAATAATTATGAAAGACCTGGTATAATTGCATATAGGTTAAAATTTTTAGAATAAATAGTGAGGTAAAAAATATATCAAAATTTTAATGATAATCTAAATATTCAAATTAATTATAATTTATAAGAAAATAAATATTTGCATATTCAAATAACTTATGATAAAACACTTTTCATTCTAATAATAAGAGGTAATTTTACATGAAAGTAACCACTTTATAAGAAAGGAAGAGTAAGAAGTATTAATGTTAGCAATTTTTTATGTAAAATAATTAAATGATTACAATTAAGTAAAAAATAAAAGTTGCTAATAATATTTTATATAAAGTTAAAATAATAATAAATCTAAAAATAAATAATGATAGTTACAGATTATTGATTATGCAATTTCAATATTTGAAGCAATTCATTCTAAAGCTATTACTATTTTTGCATTTAATAATTTCACTTTATATAATGTATTTAATTTTAATACTTTTATTGTAAGTTACATAAATGTAGAATTAGGTAGTAAATAAACTAAAAATGAAAAACACTTTTTAATAATAATATTCAATTTATAAATTTTTTTTGACAATTATTCTAAAAAATCTTTTCGTAAAAAATAAAAAGAAATAAAGCAAATTTTACATAAATATTAATTATTAATACTAGATTTAAAAGGTTTTGTAAAAATAAGAATTTAACAAATAATCAAAGTTATATGCAACATATTTTAGAAAATCAATCCAATTTTCTTACTTAAAAATGTATGATTCAAGAAATTATTAAAAGTAAAGATCATAAGGTAACTATCTTATTTAAAATTTTACTATGATGTTAATCTTATGCTCAACCTATCAAATTTAAGGTAACTATAACTTAATAATAGGGAGTAACATGTGAGAAACTATTAAGTTACTGTAGAATAAGTCCTATTATAATCAACTTTAGATTTATTTTTTAAACAAGTAAATAACTTTAACAATTTGTAAATATAATAAATACAATTAACACGTTGAAGGATTCTTAATATGTGTAGTTTAGAAAGAGATTTCTTTATTGTAGAGATTTGTATTCTTAGCAATCTTTAACCTTAGATTCTAAGTTTTAAACTCGAATTATTAAGGTATTACTATTATCTCTGCCCTTCTGCAAGAACAAATTTCTATCCTATTTATATAAAAATACAATTATAAGAAATTGCTATGTAACACTAAATTATTTTATAATGATAAGATAAATATAAAACATAAATTATAATTTAATGATGATAATAATATAATAAATAATAATAATATAATATATGAATAAAATAAATAAAATAAAAATATTAATTAAGTTAAAAATGCTAATAATGTTAATAAAATTGATCATTTAACAATCTTTGTAGTGTAGTAAAATTGACTTCATATAGTATTAATGAGCTTAATTATATTGTAATACACTAGAATGCTGCAAAATGTTATTCAAAAAATAATTGTAATTATATATGGAGTAGATTGTAACAAGTTATTTCTATTGTACTAGATCATGTTTCTTTATTTAAAGATAAAGTATTTGTTAGAAAATCTTTTAATAATATACTTTATGATATTTTTGATTTTTAAATTTGATTAAAATTATAATAAATTCTTAATATAAGCTGATATCACGTGATATTTTTTAAAAAATAAATTTGAGATCTAATATTAAATATTGCTATAACTAGAGTTCTTGAGCTATATATATAATAACAAAATTCTATATAATTAAATCAACAAATAAAATACAATAAGTAAAACTAATAGACTATTATAATATTATATTATTCTATTTTTTAAATGCCTGCCATGGATATTAGAAAAAAAAATACTAGCTAGTTTTAATTTAAATTTTAATTCAATATTTTTCTAATTAAAAAAAATCTTAATTTTACTTAATTTAAATTAATTGTTTTGACTCTAGTCTAATAGTTAGTTTAAAATATAATTAAATTTAATATCAATATTTTTAATAAAAAAAAATGATTATAATTATTTAAAATGATTAAATTATATTAAAAAGTAATTAAATAATTAATAATTTAAAATAACAATTATTAAAATCATAATAATGAATAGTTATTATTAAGATTGCTTGTCTAAACTCATTTTGGATTTAGCAAAACATTTAAACTTTAGTTTTAATAATTTTTTACTAAGTTTATGATACAGTTTCAAATTTTTATAAACTTTAATTTTATTATTGCTTAAATTTTGCAGATTTTTAAATAATATTTTAATATAATTTTACTAATTTTACTTTTTATTATTTAAATAATTTATAAAATTTCTAGGTTTGTTTAGCAATTTTAGTTACTATATATCACAAATATTATATTAGTTAAAATTATAAGAAAATTTTAATCAAATATTTATATCAATTAATTATATCTTTAGTGTTCTGTCTAGCAAAATCTTAATAATTAAAGTTAAAGTTACAAGTAGATTTTTAGTAATGTTTATAGTAAAATATTTTAAACAGTTTTTATAATTAATATTATAATTACCTATCCATTAACAAATTTTTTTTTGAAATAATTTTATAATGCACAGTTTATTAGTATATAACTGATAACTACATTATTTGTGATAACATATTCATTAATTCAAGATTTTGAAGAAATTCATTAAACTATTAAATCTGACATTTATAAAATAGAATTTGCAAAAAAAAATTTCTATGATAATGTGAAGGAGACATTATCTATATTTGGTAGTAGAATTTATTACTGAAATATAATGAAAATTTATCATTTAAATGAATTAAAGAATTCTAAATATTAAATATATTTAGGTAAATGATGAAATTTAAATTTTACTAATAAAAAGAAGTTATAATAAAATTATGAAACCTCTAAAAAAAAATAATATTATTTAGTTTTTAATTTGATAAATTTATTATTTATTTAAATATTAATTTATTATAAAATATTTAAGATTTTTTTTTTAAAAAAAAATTGGCATGTAATTTTCAACCAAAATATTTTACCTTTTTCTATATAAAGATAACCATCACCACATAATTTATATTCCAGTTTATAGATATAGATTTTTTATTATAATTTTAATAATATCATATATAAAATACTTCATAATCTTCTATAATGAATGAATTAATATCAATAATCTCTTTTTATAGAATTCATGAGAGTAAATACCAATAGGAAAAATTTGCAAATCTTCAAATTTAATTTCATTTTCATAATCATTAATTGCTCTTTTTAAGATTACAACTTTACTTAATATATTATAATTCATTTTAGTATTATTTAAAGAAAGTATAAAAGAATCACCAATTAGTAAATATTCATTATGATATAAATTTCATGATAATGAATTATAATCTTTAATAATTTTTTCTAATTCTATAATTTTTATTATAATTAATATGATGTATTTAAAACTACAAAGGTTATAAAAGATTTTTAAGTTCTTCCTATCATGACTATCATGATATATAAGTTCTAAGTTATAAGATACATGTATTTTATATTCAATTTTATCATCTTCTTTAAATATCCAATTTAACAAGATATTTGCTTACTCATAACTAATAATATTTGAATTATCAAATTTCTTTAGAATTCTTTTTATCAATAATCAGTTGGTGATAGTACTTAATAATTGAACGAAGATTATAATCAACTAATTTATCTATCAATTCATTAGAGAGAAGTTTCTTTAATAGCTAAATTACATTCCAAAAATTATGGCAAGAAATTGTAAAAATTTATATTATATAATTGATTCTTTAATATTTTATTATCTTATTACATTAATTCTATAATTTCTGATTTGATTTTATGTGATTGCTTTATTTTTCACTTTATTACATAATTTCAAATATCTATTTTTTCAAACTCAAGATCATTTTTCTAAAGAATGATAATTAATAAAGATTTACTTATCATGACAAATCTTTAGATACAAATAATAATTTAAGTTATACATAAAATAATTCTTCACATAATATTTCTGAATCTTTTGAAATTTTTTATCTATAAAAATTTTATAATCTTTTTGCACACGAAAGGAAATTTATAAAACTATACAAAATTTTGTTATATTTAATTAATATAATTATAAATGATATTCTATGTGCTTAACTAATTTGGTTAGTATAAAACTATCAAAAAAAAAATTTTTTAAAAAACATTTTATTTTATTAACATACTATAATAAAGGAAGAACAGTATTATGGTAAAAAAAATTTAGTGTAATTTATATTAATATAAACCAGATTTCTAGGCCTTTGAACAATAAAAAAATTTCTTTTTTTTTAAAAAATTCTCCTTTTTAGGCAATTTATATAATGCTATCGACTGGTCATTATTATATATCTTATCTATTATAGTTACTTTATACTAATATTAACTAATACTAATACTAACACTAAAAGATAAAAGATAAGGTAGAGGAGAAATCTACCTTAAAAAATAAAGGTTGTTTAAATATTTTTTTTAAAAAAAAGATTTAATCAGTCAATTCATTATTGTAGTATAATCAAATATATGATAAAATTGTTTTTTATTCTAATATTATATATTATCTATTCTTATTGTTGATTATTTTATTTAGTTAATAATAAATTAACTAATTCATAATTATTAATTAATAATTAATTATTTATTTTTTTGATTTATGATTTTATTGATTAGATAAGTAGATTTGTCACTTTGATTTTCTATAGCAATATAGTAAGGTTGGTAACCTTTTATTATTTACCTATTTTTTTGATTATTAATTAAAATATAATAGTTTTTCTTTAATTTTGATTAAGATTGACTATAACAATTCAGACTTAAACAAATATGAATATTATACCTTTTAGCTTATCGTAGTAGTATAGTTAAGTATATGTGCAATCTCTTTTTTTACATTGTAATTTATTTTTTTTATTATTATTCATTATTTTTTTCTATTAATTAAGACTATTTCTTTAGATTCAAATCAGCTAGTTCGTTATAATAGCATATTTATATATGCAATGAAATTTTCTTTTATTATTTTTATTATTTCTATTATTATTAGCAATTCTACTTGAATAATGTCTTAAGTTTCAGAAATAATAAGTTTACAATATATTAAAAATCATGATTATTATTAAAAAATAAAAATAAATAAAATTAGACATAAAAATAAAATTAAAAATTAAAAAAAATTTAAAATTAATATTAAAGAAAAAAATAAATGATAAAATACTGAAAAAGAACAAAAAAACAAAAAAAATTAAAATTAAAAAAGAATAAAAATAAACGAAGTTAAAACAATAAAAAATATAAAAATTCAAAAAAAAATGAAAATAAACAAGAGGAGAAAAAATAAAAATTAAAAATTTAAATAAAGTAAAAATTTAAAATAATAAATTAAAACTAAAAATAAAAAAAAAAGAAATTAAAACCAATAAAAAAATAATAAAAACCTAAAAAAATGAAATTAAAAAGATCAGAAGAAGATGACAAATAAAAAAATATATAATACTGATAGTTATTTCAAAGCATTTTTGAAGTTATTTTATTTTAAAATCATTATATATTTAAAAGTATTTTAAATTCTAAAAAATTTTTTTTATATATGGGATCTTTGCAATAGAAAAGGGGAAACAGCTGGAAAAAATAAAAATTGAGTTAATGCTAAATCTGAATATATTTTGACTTAAAAATCATATTTGGCATATAAAAGTAAAATTGATTTTTTCTGGCAGTTTCCCCCCTTTTTATTGCAAAGGTCCCATATAACTGTGTTAAGCATACCTATAAAAAATTATTGAGTAATACTTAAAAAGATCGTCTTATCGATATCATTCTTTTGAAAGTTAATTTTATAGCAATTGTGATGAGTTCTCTTTTTATGTTAAGAACTTTCTAATAGAACAGAATTATCACTAATTATTTTAAAAAAATTAATAATTTATTATTGTATTAAATAGATGAATAATATTTACAGTAACTTGTAATGATGAAATAAATTTAATACTTATGTTCTTATAACCTATCAGATTACTTTTTAGAATAGTATATATATTAAAAAATTTTTTGCATAAATTAAATACAACAGATTATAAAAATTTATTATTAAGAGATTTTTTTTTTGCAATTATTTAATTTTCTGCTAGCATTAATTTTGGCAGATTAATAAAGCTGAATATGATATTTTAAAAATTATAATAAAATTGCAAAACAAATATAATAATTAATAATATATTTATATTCAAACTACATTTATATTAATCTTTTTATATAAAGCTTTTAAATATGCTAAATTTTTTGAAAATTTTTATTTTGTATAAAAAAAGTCTTTTAGAAAAAAAATTTTCAAATAATTCATCTGCTACTTTAAATATTTCTGCATCCAATTGTTTAATATATTACATAGTTATATTTACATTATTTTTCAAATTTAAGTTTTTCTTTACTTTTATCTTTTTAGCTTTATTTTATAAGCTTTTTTTAATTTATGAGCATAGTTTGAAATCTGCGACATTTTCTGATAAAAAATCCTAAATTTCTAAAATTAAATAATATGTTTTAAATTAACATTTTAAAAATAAATACCAAATGAATATAAAATTGCTTAAAGATAACATGATATTCTACTTTCTTAAAAAATTAATTCTGTAATATCACAAAGGTTTATTTTACTATAGTTAAAATATAAATAAACTTTTTATAGAAAAAAAATCTGTCACTTGAAAAAATGAGTTATTTTAAATATTGTCATAAAATTTGAGATGAGAATGTTAAGAGGGATTTAAAATTATTTAAATTAGATAATATAACAACTTTAATAAGAAATTTATTACTAAATTGTTTGAATTAGAGTATAAAATAGCTTAATATGAAAAAAAAATCTCTGATACTAAATTTTTATAATATTATTCAATGATTTAATTTGATTTACATAGTTAATAAAATACCTATATTATGTTAGATGCTGAAACTGGCAAAAATTGATGAACCTGTCAAATATGACATATATGCCAAATATGCCAGATCTGCCATATCTGCCATATCTGTCATATCTGCCAAATCTGCTATATCTGCTAAATAGGACATATATATTATTTATTATATTTCTATTATTTATATCATTATTATCATTTATAACATATTTAACATAATTAGTATATCTGTTAGCTCTGTTATTATTGTCAGTAGTATCATAAATATTATAGATTTTCTTTAATTGTAATTTTTCTATATAAAGGGTATAAAAATGCCTTGAAAAAAGGACAGATTCGAATAAGTTCTTAACATTGTATTCAATATACATTTAATAACAATAATAAACATATTTAATATTTACAATCATAAAACTTATAATTTATTTCTTGTTAACTAAATAAATTCTAATAAATAGCATGTTAAGTTAATTGGATTTAAGTCATAGCTATTGCCTTTCTAATTTTAAATCATAATTAACTTATTCGACGGAAAGAGTAACGTTAACAATGCTAATATTATTTGAAATTTAGCTTAATTTAAAATAGATTTTAATAAGAAGTTTCTTACTGATTTTTCTTTTATAATTCTGAATTCTTATTATTATTTTTTCAAATTCTGCTCTTTTTTTTATAATAGAACACTTTTTTCTAAAAAAAAAAAAAAGAAAAAATAATAATATAAAAATAATACTTTTAGACAGTTCTCAAGAAAACTTTTCCTTTATTTTTCTTTAAAAAAAAATAAATAAAAACATGAAGAATTGAAATAATAAAGAAATTAGGTACAAAAGAAACAGTACTTGATTAAAAATTTTAAAATAAAATATAAAAATATAACAGAGAATCTTATTTATTTTACTTATTTTTTTTTGATTAATAATCAGAACTAATAGCTTTCTTTTGATTTTATAGATTAGGGTTGATTCTACTCTTTTAGATAAACATAAGTATAAAAACTTTAAATAGATCCTTTAATTCATTTAATTATATATAAAAGTTTATTTAAGTAATTACAAACTGTATTTTTTATAATATTAATTCTATATATAGTATTACTAAATAAATATTTTATAAAAATGCTAGAAGTAATAAAAAATTAAATAAAATATTTAATATATATATAGATTTCAATTAAATTTGCCTATTTATAAAATAAAATAATATTAATTTATTAAATATATATAATTCACTCTCTTTTATATAAAATATAATATTTAAATTATTTACTTATTTCTTATTTGTAATAACTAAAGCTTCTAATAAATTGAAAATATAAATTAAAATTAAAATAATTAATAAAATTTAAATTTATAAA